ACTTAACATTTCACCCTGAAAAATATCTTTGTTATTTTGCTAATACATCTCCAGTAACCACTATCAGCCCAGAACGCACTGGCCTCACCACATTTTTTATCAGCTCCCGTAGGGTGCATAAGGAGATGAATATTCAGAATGTAACATTCACTTTTTTATTCAGACGTGATGGAGCTTTAGGTGATAACAAACCAAACCAACCGTCCCGGAGGGGAGTTTATGGTCTGTTATACAGCAGCAAAATCTAATGTGGAGACCAGAGCTCACCTTGGTCTAAAGCCTTACCTTCGTCTAATTTAATAATTAATAAATCAACTGATTTTCAACAGAACTTGAACTTACTTTCGAATTGGCCTTTGTTTTGAAACCTTTGCTTTTTGGAAATGTAAAATGGTACATCCACTTTGGATAGTTTAGCAGTTGCTTAATAAGAGGGAACAAGCAATTACCATACAATGTAGCTAGCAATTTCCCTCCTGAGCCTTTAGCATAGAGGAGTGGAAACTTGTGTCCATACAAAAATATGGACACAAATGTTTATTGCAGCTTATTCATAATAGCCAGAATCTAGAAACAATCCAACTGTCCCTCAATGGACGAATGGTTAAACAAGCTTGGTATGTATATACCATGGAATGCTAGCCAGCAAAAACAGTGGTAAGAAAAGGAACGGGCTATTTTTGATACAATAATTTGGATTGATCTCAAGGGAATTATGCTGGGTGGAAAAGGCCACTCCCCAAAGGTACAGACCACGTGATTCCATTTACATAACATTTTAAAAATGACATTATAGAGAACAGAGCACATGTTGCCATGGGTGAGGGTCAGGGGTGGGGCTGGGAAAGCAGGTGTGGTTATAAAAGGACAGTGGGGGGGGCGTGGTGAGGGGCTGTTGTGTACCTTGACTGGTGCTGACTACACGAATCTACATGTGATAAAATGGCACAGTAATAAATACCCACAGAGAAGGGCGCCTAACACTGAGGGAAACTGAACAAGATGGTGGATTATATCAATAAGTTTCCTGCTTGCAATATTGTCACTATCGTTTTGCAAGATTCTATCTTGGAGGGAAACTGGGTAAAGGGTTCTGTAGTATTTCTTAGGACTGCATATGAATCTACATTTATCTCAAAATAAAAAAGTTTAATTGAAAAAAAAGGCTTTGCTTGTAGTTGAAGATATTGCAGGGAAAGCAATCCTTTAACTCTGATAGACCGTTACAGAGCAAAGAAAAGTTTTCCTCCGTTTCTCCTGAGGAATATCATACATGGCAAAATAGAACTGTAGGCCTCAGGAAAGTTACAAATCACTTCTGTTACCGAGAAAGCAATTTGGTATCAGTCTCCTCTAGAAGTCAATGAAGGAGAAGAACAGTATGAGATGAGAGTAACCTCAGTTCTCAATGAATTCCAAAGATGAACTTTTTAATCACTGTTCTTATTTTTTAAGCTCAGAATTGGACTCTGTACTTATGCTGGTCCAGACTGCAAATTGCACATCGGCCAATCTTCCATCCCTGCTCTGTGGAAGGCACTGCGGGGGTGAGGGAGGCAGAAAGATGACAGACAAGGAGGTCTCCAGGAATTTACAGTGATATGGAGGGTAATGAGTACTCCTCTGAAGAGATACAGATAGAGGCCAGGGCTGTGTGTGTGTGTGTGTGTGTGTGTGAGAGAGAGAGAGAGAGAGTTAGAGTTAGAGATGAGGACTAAGGAGACCAGGGAAGGATTAGAGGAGATGGTATTTATTTATTTAATTTATTTATGAATGATTTTATTTATTTGACAGAAAGAGACAGCGAGAGAGGGAACACAAGCAGGGGGAGTGGGAGAGGGAGAAGCAGGCTTCCCGCGGACCAGGGAGCCTGACGTGGGGCTCGATCCCAGGACCCTGGGATCACGACCTGAGCCGAAGGCAAACGCTTAACGACTGAGCCACCCAGGCGCCCCTCCACGAGCACCTCTTGATGGGGACCTGGGCTGTTTTCCAGTCTCTCACTAATACAAGCAAATGCTTAATGTATAAGAAACTTCGTATTTTTGGCATTGTCCTCTTGAACTCGGTGCTTCCGGTGGTGGCCTCCTGGGGGCCAGCCTAGAACCCACTTCTCTAGCCCTTTCTCATTTGGAAAATAGCAGACAGGGGATGGGGTGAGGGTCGAGGATGCCCTGTGTTCAAATCGCCACCTTGTGGTGGTTTCAGATTCCTTCTGAAGGTTTTGTTTTTTTGTTTTTAAGATTTTATACCTTTGAGAGAGAGCACGTGCGCACGCACAGAGAGAGAGAGAGCACGTGCGCATACATGAGCACAAGCAGGAGGAGGGGCAAAGAGAGAGGGAGAAGCAGACTCCCTGCTGAGCAGGGAGCCCGAACTGGGGCTCAATCCCAGGACCCTGAGATCATGACCTGAGCCGAAGGTGGACACTTAACCGGCTGAGCCCCCCAGGCACCCCTCCTCCTGAAGGTTTTTAAACCTACCCCGAGGTGGGCAGTGGCAGACAGCTGGCGCTGGAGGACTGGAGGCCAGTCCTGACCACTTCCCAGCAAAATTGCTTGGAATCAGAAAAAAAAAAAAAAAAAAAAGCCCTGAGTGAATATATGGAATTGTTGAATCACTACATTGTACACCTGAAACTAACATAACACTGTATGTTAACTACACTGGAATTAAAAAACCTTCACACATTTTACAATAATTAACTCAAAGTGGATTATAGATTTAAATGTAAAAGATAAAACTAAAATTTTCAGAAGAAAACAAGAGAAAGTCTTTGGCACCTAGAGTGAGGAGAAGAGTTCTTAAACATGACCCCAGAGACATGGCCCATGAAAGAAAAAGTCAATACATTGGACTACAGCAAAATTTAAAACTCTGGCTCTGCAAAAGGCCCTGTTAAGAAAATGAAATGACCAGCTATAGATTGCGAAAAATTATTTGCAAACCACGTATCTGGCAAACGATTTTTTTTCATGGAAAATAATGAAGGACTCTCAAAATCCAGCAGTCAAAACACACCACCCAACCAGAAAATGAGCAAAACATCAACAGACATTTCACCAAAGATGATGTACAGATGGCAAATGAGCATGAGAAAAGATGTTGAATATTATTAGCCATCAGGGAAATGCAGATTAAAACCATGATGAGGTATTACTACACCCCTATTGCAACATGTACAAAAATGACACTCTCAAATGGTGGTGCTGGGATGGCCTGGGTGGCTCAGTCAGTTAAGCGTCTGCCTTCGGCTCAGGTCAGGATCCCGGGGTCGTGGGATCCAGCCCCACTTTGGGCTCCTTGCTCAGCGGGGAGTCTGCTTCTCCCTCTGCCTGCTGCTCCCCCTGCTTGTGCTCTCTTTCTGACAAATCAAATATATATAAAAAAAAAAATGGTGGTGCTGATGTGCAGGAACTGGATCTTTCATATATTACTGTGGGAATGTAAAATGGTAAGCCACTCTGGAAAAGGATCTGGCAGTTTTTTATCAAACTAAACCTGGGCTTACTGGTGGCTCTCCTGGCCCTCCATGCTTCTCCGGTGCTAGCATTTGTCCCCTTGTCCACCACTACCGGCTTGCTTGTCTGTCCTCTAGGCCGGTAAGACGAGCAATTGATCTGCCATGACGCCTTGGTGACTGCCGAATCCCTGCCCCTAGCGCAGGGCCTTGAGCCGTGGAGACGCTTAGTGCTGCGGAAGGAAAGCGCAGCTTCTTGACTGTTGACTTGGGAATATAACACGTGACGTGCGTCGGCACTGTTCGGCTCAGCCCACCTTCTCTATAAAATGGGCAACACATCTGACACGGATCCGTTTATTTATGTGGTCACTGAACAAATATTTTTTGGAGCAGCTAAGTCAGGCTTGTTGTAGTTCAAGGAGCCAAAGTGAGCTAACCAGACACGGTGTCTTACTCAGTACTGTGTTTAGAACAAATTCCTACCAGCAGATCTAAGCCTTGCTGGGCCCACCTTCCTTTCTCCGTCAGATGTGTTTAATGCTATGCTTTTCATTTGTTAGGTTATTTTCCGTCCTTTTTTAAAGACTTTAGTTTCCATTTGGTCTTGTATTTTTCTTGAAAAAATTATTTAATATTAGATCCTTCTACTTTTTCTCTTCTGACGTTAGTTTTAAAATTTTATTATCTGTTAATACTGCTCCAAGACAGTCTTGGCTAGTAGGTAACCCTGCTCTACTCTGATTTCAATTGAGATGACTTTATATTTCCCTTAAGTTTTTGTTTTTGTGTTTTAAATCTAAATTGGGAATGGCTATTGGATTTTGTAAAATACTTCTTCAGCAGTGTCACAATCATAGGCCTTTTCTGCTTTAAATTTGTGGTGAAATGAAATGTGTTACTGGATTTCCTGATTATCAGCCCACACTTGCATCTTTCATGGTGTTATATTCTGTTGATAAATTATTGGATTTTGTTAATAACAGGAATGTCCCCGGGCTTTTGGCATTTGGATGTCCCCCTTTCCACTTCCAATACTAAGGCGGGTTTTCTTCCATCTTGCATTATTGTGAACAATTCAATTTTGATGAGAAATGGGAATAGCTGCAATTCCCCCGGGTAATCCCGTATTTTCGTTAAGTTGTTACATAGTTTCAAAGAGAAAGAAATCACCCATAATTACACTATCTTAAGTTACTCACAGCTCCTGCTGTTTTGCCATAAACCCCTTTGTGGTGTTTGTCAGAAAATCGTCAGCCCCTCAACAAACTTCACCAGGAATCCGCACCCTAAATGGGCCACGTGCTGCTCTTCTGACTCCCGGGGGCGCACGTGGGTGGGGGGAGCTCCTGATAGAGCCTCGCTAGCCTCCTTCCTCATGGAAAAGCTGTCGTGCAGACTGCGCTACACAGCTCTGGGGGCACCGTTCACATTCAGCCATTGTGCCTCCATGTACTTACTACGATTTCCCAGCAGATGGCAGTGGACCGAGGGGCGCCAGTGAGGCCAGGACTCCCTTCCGAGACTGGCTAGAGGTTACCTGGACCCGCAGCTACTCTGGGCATGCAAAAGGACCCGTGCCAGCTTGGGGTACCCGACAGCAGCTATCTTCATCCGTGCCTTGCCCCCCCACCCCCGCCTTGACCCTGTTAGCGGACAACAGCAAAAGTCAGGCTCACCCCCGATATCCCCTCTGCTGGTAAGGTTCTAGTTCTTAAGCGGAATGGTGTTTTCAGAGGTGTTCATTTTATTATGCTTTATACTTTATGTACATGTTACATATATTCATTTTGAATGCTTTGACACAATAAATAAAAAAGGAAAGCACACATATACAAATAAGAATGCCAGTATCATGGGGAAGACCTTGTGTCTGCTGAAATTTTTCAATTAGCCTATTCATAAATCTCAGTACTGTTAACTAATAGTTAGCAAACATGTCACAATGTACTTCCTGTCTTGATGCTAGAGTTAGAAATCCTTCTCCAGTTAAAGCATTTAGAAAGAATAGTAATGCTTTTTTATTTTTTAAAGATTATATAGCAGGGCAATTTTTCTATTGGAACTCGTAACTGATACTTGCAGTAGAGGCATGATAGCAGGCTACTTGAGTTTCCTTCAGCCTGTCTCTAGAATTTAAAGCAGGAATTGAATGGCAGGAATTTCTTCCAGAAAGCTGTTACATGTAAGTTTGAACATTACTAGCTGCTGCTCTTGAGCAGTATCTGAGAGATTTCAGAATTTCTGCTCTGTTGCAAACGCTAAAACCTGACCTTGGAAAGGATGCCTGGGTGCAGGAAAAACGCAGCGTTACGTCCAACCCTGTGACAGGGACCGCTAGCTGGGCTCGCTGTCCACCTCCCCACTGCTTCCTCCGTAACGAATCCTGGAATGTTCATTGGCCCACGACAGCCAGAATAAAGACTATTATTTCCTGTTCTCTTTGTAGCTAGTAGGATCAAGTGATTAAGTTTGAGTTGATGAACCTATGTGGCGTAACTTGAGAAGTGCTCTTAAAGGCAGGGGCGGCGTTATCCAGCTGTGTAGCTGTCGGCAGCCTCGACATGGAAGCCGTGTGTTGCGCGTGGGGGGGGACCGCGGTCGAGGGAACCGGGAGTCCTGACCCTGCAGTGCTGGAGCAGCGCCGGACCGCCTTCCCGACTTTTCCACGCACGCACAAGAAATAAACTTCTATCTTGTTTAAGTCACTATTTGGGGACACAGCCCAACTATACACAGTGTCAAATTTGAGTCTCATTTCCTTAACCTAAAACGTTCATGCAAGTTAGACACTGCACCTGGTGGCGGGTGCATCTACTGCTTAGATGACGGACGGAAGCGGGTTCCCACGGAGAACATCGTGCGTCACAAACGGCTATTTTACAAGGTGCTGAACTCCAAATACCTGACCTCCCACTGGTCAAGCGCATCTGTGGTTTTTGAAAGAAGCATCAAGATCAAAAACTAATTGCCTTTGACTAGCTTAAGATGCAAAGTGACTGAAGTCCCTTCCCATAAGAGAACTGTAACGAGCAATTTAAACAAAACAAAAATGGTTTGTTTTATTTACAATACTCAATGCATTTTACAAATAACATATTTGCATTCCCTAAGTCTTTTGGAAAGTAATTCCAGTTTGTGCAATGAGTTTACAGAAAAGTCTTAAGACATCTCTTAGACATCTTAAACCTAAATTCTCAATTTTGAAAGATATTTCACACTACGTTAACAGAGGACTGTTTTTAATTAAGAAAAACTAAACTCTGTAGTTAAATATTGCCTTTCAATTATCTTTAACCCAAATACAAACTGGATTAGCCTGTGAAATAATACCATTAGATTTGGATAAATTATTTCCACTGCTTTCCCCACCCCCAAAATGCATGCACAAAGTAAACATGGTAAATTACATTAACAACATGTTATTTCAACACTTTTTTTTTTTTGGACTCTCTCAACTATTGTTTTGCTCAATCTGGGGTACAGATAGGTAGGATTCCAGTCTGGGGAAATCCTAAACCCCTCTCCAGAATAGGGAAGGATTTTCAGTAAGTCCGAGGAGACAGGTCAGGATTAGGGAGATTTCTAAGCAGGTTCTCCCGAGGAGGTCTCATCTGCTAATTAGAACCAGGTTCCCCTTCAGGCCTGATGAAGCCTAAAGGGGTCAGTTATCTCCCTACTGACAGTCTGGGGAGCATCTAATGCGAGTCTCCAAAGGACAATAGGTTCCTCTGTCTCCCCTCTTCCCTGAACCGCTACCTTCATTTTAGTGCCTTCTAAGGTTGATGATGGACAAAAGTTCCTGTGTTCAGATTCCAGAAACTGATTTAATGCCATATCAAGATCTTCTGGAACAGGTAAAGAGCAATGAACAACGACACTTTAATTGTGCAAGAGTTTTCATCTCATGCATGTGAAAAAAAAATTTTTATCACTCATAGCTGCCATCTCTTAAAACATAAAATCCACGTCCTCGCTCTTGAGCTGGAAAGACAGAGACATCGCCACATCGGATCCACCCATTTAGCAATGCACTTCTCCGTCCCCACACTAGATCTCTCCTCAAAAGACAAGTGTCCCTAACATCCGCTGTCGGTGGCTGTCTGGGAGATACTGAGCCAGAGAAACAAAGCCCAACATTTGACACAGCCAACAAAATTCTAAGATAAAGAAATGGTGAGGTAGAGTTGAGAGAGTTCAACTGAATTTTCTGAGCATAGATCTTTTGGCACATTCTAAAATTATACAGACTCCTTCTCAAACTCTCTGTGACACCTTTACAAAGTGCTGGCAACTTCAGGAATCCTTGATCTATTTAGGAAACATCTATGTAAAGCTCACAGAATAAAGTCATTTGAAGAAATGAATTCCTGGCAGTTGAGCTTATTTACCCCAATATTGAAGCAAATAAACACAATGCTATCCATTTGCTGAATTTATTTAAACAAATCAATTTAGAAATCTCATAGAATGAAACAAGACTTCTGACATGTAAACATACTGCCGTGTTCCTGAAACAGATGGTAACACCTGATAAAAGTTAATAATCGCTTGTTAGGAAAGCTGTCCATTAATAAGGCCAGTCTTCAGCAGTTACTAAAACCATTGTGTTTCTTTAGCTTTCCTAGCGTGACAATGCAATACTATCAAACCACAATCAGATCTAATAAAAGACAAGATTGGATGGACAGATCAGTACCATTGGTTACAGCTGTTAAACAGTTTCATTCTTGGCGCCACGTAAAAACAAGCCAATCACATCAAATAAATCATGGCTTTTTTTCTTTATCACAATTCACTAAGTGATGTTAATTATGGTCCTTGTCAAACACGTTTGGTAAAGGCTATTTACAGTGTACATGACTGAGCATGCACTATTTATAGTTACAAAGATACCTGCCAGTTTATTACAATAGAATTACACAGTGCCTGAAAATGGTGAAACATCTCACATGTCATTTAAATCAATAGTTTCAAGCAGAAAACGTTCCTTATTTGACCACAATTGCAATAATTACATGAAAATTCTTATAAAAACACGAATCCCCCTCAAGAAATTGATGCATATTCTACGCACTATAGGTTAAGGCAGTAAAAAAATGTATTCCTGATAACTGGAGGTCTTGACAATGTCAATTAAAGCTGTCCGACTCTAGTTTTTCATTCTCCATCGTATACTCAAAGTTCTGTCTGTATAACTAATCTGTGAAAGATTTCATTTTTAAAGTCGAAGAAGTATTAGCAAAGAAGAGAAGAGCTGACGTTGGAAAAAGAAACTGCTAGGGAAAGGGAAAAATGTTAAGTTGCATTTTGCCTGAAAGTTTTCAAATTCTAAGCAAGAGCATTATTTGTGAGTCTGAACCTTAAAAGTATAAAACAAATACATATAGTTTACCTTTCTTAATTTAAAATATACTGAACTTTGAACAATTCAAGTAATGTAAGACTATCAAAAATAACTTCATAAGCCATACAAGCATCAACTGCATGTTCAATGTTTTTAATTAAGAACTTTTTAAAAACTGTAAACTAAACCAGGAGTTTAGTTAACAAATGGTAAATGACCTTTTATTTGCACTTGTGATTCCTTTAATACAAATTGCTACCAACATATATGTAAAGATATGGCAGATTATGCATTTGATCAAAGCACTTTGATTTAAGCATAAAACAGATTCAAATGGTTTAAGTTCCGTGCATAAAGATCGTAGATGCTGCCTACGCATCCGCAGGCAGCTCTCTCTCTAATCAGAATCCTTTATTCCTCAGCTGCAGATGAGACAGGGCACAAGCTGTTGTAAACAGGGCACTGCTGTAAAACCAGGATAATATTCTTAAATTAAGATCGTTCTTGTTCAATTGAAAAGACTTTCCCCAAGTGTCTTCCAGCACTGGAGTATATTCTGCTGACCTCTGAATTTCATAAATTAACTTTCCTTTGATTCCATTTTTATGGTGGTTGTGTTCACAGTTTTGTTCTAAAAATTGGTTTGAATTTATATAAAACTCTGTACATGTTCACAAATTATTGCATAAACAGCATAATCTTCCAGACAGTGTTTGAAAACACATGTCCAATTCAGGAAAAATATATTCACGTTTCCCGTCTGGCTTTTTTCTTCTTTTTTATTTGTTTGGGAGATTCCCAGCTAGTTTCAGACTTGGCTAAAGGGAAAAAAAGAAAGAAAAAAAACAGGAGTAAATACTGTTATGTCTCAAAAATGTAAAGGTAGCATCAACGGAAACATGTGTTGAAACAGCTCCCCCGATAATGCTTCAACCTTTGTGTTTATGTCCCCAGCCCCAGTGACACATTCTGTAGGTGAGTCCATGGCTGCTGGCCCCTTTTCCTCTGAATCCCAGTGTATTCTGTTTTTTTCGTGACATGGGAGGTATTTCACCGGTTTTGATCTAGAAAACCCACCATTTAATACGGCTCAATCTGAGTGATGAAAGTGAAAATGGGCAAAAATGGACACTGAAGGGAGCTGAAGGGAGCAACAGAGGGAAAAAAGGCACAGAACAATTCCCAGCCCCAAGAACATGTGCACAGGAAAAGGGAGGGACCAGACGGACAAGGGCATGTATCAAATCCTCCGCCGTCCATGTTCCTGGCCGCCCCCTCTTGCTTGGAGTGATTTCAGTCCCTGGGCCCTCACAGGTGAGGTCCACAGGGTTCCAAGGAATCCGGCCTTTGCCAAGGAAGGAAGGATTATCTATCAATCCAATCCATCAGCCTTCTAAGATATTAACGCTTATCAACAGTACAAGAACACACAAAAGAACCAAAACAGAGGATTACTCACTCTGTGAAGGAGGCACACTATTTTGCTTAGTATTTGACTTGGATTTATCTGTCTCTTGTAGCATCGGTGGCACTTGGGACGAACTCTTGTCAGAATCACTTTTTGATAAAAGAACAGATGGCTCGGTAGAAATAGCAGGTGGAAGAGTCTTGACAGGCTATTTTGGGATAAAATTATCTTAAGTTCTTTTGTAAAAACTTTCAAATAAAATTAAATATCACAGTAATACCAAGAGGCTGTTCAGGAACAAGTGAATACTAAGACTGTTTCCAAACAATTTACCAGCGGAAGCACTACAACTCGTGCCTGCCCTCTAGCGGCATAACCAAATAAATCCTTACCCACAATAGCAAATGGATGAAAGTATAAAATTAGAAGATGTTTATGGAATCTCAAATAGGGGTGAATAATTCCATCTCTATGAACCTTTACATTTTTCTTTTTCATTACAAATATAATGATTTTATATGTTTTAGTAACTCAATGTCTATCCACTTCTTACCAACTCCTTAATTCCTCAAAACTTTTTCATGTGAAAGACAAAAAGAAAAAGGCTAATTTCTGAAATACCAATAGGGGATGCTCCCTTCTCTGCTTCTTGAGAGGTAAGGCTAACTCAACTCAAAGAGGGCAGCAATTACTTCCGTTTTCTACCCACAGAAAACGGTGGCCTCAGACAAAAGCAAACTATGGCTACTAGTCCTTATCCATTAAAGGAAGCAGTAAAACTCAGGTCCAAATTTTCAGAGTTCTATCCAGTCTGGTAGTGAAATCATAATGCTGAGGGCCTACGCTCCTATGCCTTGCTTCTCCTCTCCAACCTGGAAGCAGAAAGGCCTCTGTGAGACCTGTTAATGCATGGTCAGCAGAGGTAAGGATGGAAATCTCAGTTATTTGGAGTGCATTGAGGCTGTAACAGAGATCATCAATTCATCCTTAGCCTTATCATCATGATTGAATATAGAAACAGGGCTAAGTGATGTTTCTCTTGCCCCTTGTTCCGCTAGGCTCTGGGTGTAAGAAAGCTCAACGGAAAAGGAAACAAGAAGAGGAAGCTGTGTGCACGCAGGTAATTACTAGGATTCCTTCCTTCTGTTTCAGGTATCTGAAGCTGCATTTGTCCTGCTTGGCTCAGCTTTCTTATTAGTGTTCTCCATATTTATTTCTTACCCAAAAGTTTTAGTATTTATTTCTAGTATTCTCCCCTCTATTCTCTCCACTTAATCCATGATAAATCACAGAAGGACTCAAATAGTCTTTACAAAATGGCTTCTGAAAATGACTTACTAGTAAGTAAAACATCAAAATGTCAAATGACCCTTTGTCACCCTACTAATTAAACCTATGCATGTACTGAGATCACATCCTTACATCGCAAAAGGGAATTCTTCTCTTAGGGAATTAAAAGCATCAAATCCAAATAGGAACTATGGTTAAGATTTTATTTTGGCACAAGACTGTTAGCAATTACTTCTTTTGGCGGTAACTCAGGTTCTTCTTTTTTAAAGATTTTATTTTATTTTTTAAGATTTTATTTATTTGACAGAGAGGGAGACAGGGAGAGAGGGAACACAAGCAGGGGGAGTGGGAGAGGGAGAAGCAGGCTTCCCGCAGAGCAGGGAGCCCGATGTGGGGCTCGATCCCAGAACCCTGGGATCATGACCTGAGCCGATGGCAGACACTTAACGACTGAGCCACCCAGGCACCCCTAAAGATTTTAAGTAATCTCTACACCCACTGTGGGGCTGGAACCCACAACCCCGAGATCAAGAATCACATGCTTTACCAACTGAGGCAGCCAGGCACCCCTGTAACTCAGGTTTGTGTCTGAAGCTGTTTCATTAAATATGTACACTCCAAAAAGGCAGAGATTTTTTTGATCTGCTTTGTTCTCTGATATATCCTCAAATAGGGTGTGGCATTGTAGTGGGTTCTCAATAAATTTTTTTGAATGAGCATATAAATGAACCATGCAACTCTAGTAGGATTTCACAGATTTCTATACAATTTACCTTTTTAGAAATTAGATTTTAAAAAACTATGCATCACTGGCCTAGACCTTTTGTAAAATGATCCTTTCTGACACATCAAAATTTTCTACCAATGGCACATATTTCAAGAACCTGTCACCAATTTTAAACAAATGTTAAATTTTGAGAGGTTGGACCACAGTCATATTATATATTATGGCATGCTTTTAGGAAAATGCAACCAGTTACATTTTCCCTAAGCCATCTATCCCCTGTATGTTTAAATATTTAATAGGAGAAAACATAGTCTATTGGTTCTGGTTTCACCACTGACAGGCAGCTTGGGACTAGTTATTTAAGTTCTCCAACCTCATTTATAGAATAGATCTTACCTTTCTCATGGGGTTGTTATGAGGGTTAAATTAGTGTATTTAAAATAGCACTTTAAATTAGTGATTAGCAATGCTTAGGACTTAGTACTTTGATAAAATATGAGTTATGACACAACTCTCAAGTCATCAAAATTTTTTCCTTAAATATCAAAAAATTACCTGGCTATTTTTGATGAGTGCTTCAGCTGGATCACTAGTGCTTATGGTCTTCAAAGAAAAAGCTTTTTCCTGTTTTGGACGGACTTTAGAGGTATTCACTGGAAGCTCTTCCCTAATCTCTTTTTCTAATTCTTCTGTGTCCTACAGAGAAAAGTAGTCTATTAGATGATATAAATCACTCTTTTTTACTAATGAAAAATCTATTTGGTTTGTGTGTTAATGTCCAAAAGATATTCCAAGAAAATAATTTCACTTCAGTAACTGTCCAAACAGCTTAACAGAGCATATAAAAACAATCATTCAAAGATTTAAAATATACAGGTACATCTGGAACAACAGTGATCATCCCTGCTCTCGCCAGGGACTTAAATCAATTGGGAATTAAAAACCAATACACTCCCATCCCCAAATGCAAACCATTCTAATTTACTAAACCAACTCAAACGAAATAAACTAGAATTTTGTCTTTTAAACAAAATACACAGTGAATTAGGTGATACTCGAACTAAGACTTTAGAAGTAACATTTCAGTTAATGCCTTCCTCAAGGAACAAAATATTTGTACATAAATACATTCTGTAGATAAATGAGGCTGACACAGTAGAAAGTACGTTTCAGTTCTGGTCTGCTGCAGCCTCGCTGTGTAGTGTCAAAGACAAATCATTTCATTTCCCTGAACCTTAGTTTCCTCCCTCAACTATAAAATAAAATGTGCCTAGATAATTTCTAAGGTCCTATCCAAGCTTTAACATTTCCATTCTTAGGCCATCAGACTATTTTTTAAAAAAGATTTTATTTATTTAACAGAGAGATAGAGAGACAAAGAGCACACACACAAGCAGGGGGAGCAGCAGAGGCAGAGGGAGAAGCAGGCTCCCCGCTGAACAGGGAGCCCGATGAGGGGCTCGATCCCAGGACCCTGGGATCATGACCCGAGCCAAAGGCAGATGCTTAACTGACTGAGCCACACCCAGGTGTCCAAAGGCCTTCAGACTTAAAAAAGTTTCAACAAAGCAATTCTAAAGCACATTACATGCTTAGGTATGTGAAATAAATATGAAGTAGAATACATTAAACAGGACCATCGTTGCTAATTGTATTGTTCTTTAGCCAACACATACATATAAACCACTGGCTAGGATGATCTTGGAAGTTTTCTGCCAATACCGATATTTTATAAAACTTGTTCAGGATGGTAGTGGGTTTAGACAGTAATAGAAATTTTGTTGTGAATTTAAGTTGAAGAGTAGCTCTGGAAGTATATATGTAGGATTTGCCATCTGCACAAAATTAACGTGAAGACATCAGTGAGTTTTACCCTAAGCTGTACTCTAACAGTAAGACGCCCGCCAACCACGTACCCACAACTAAAAAGAACAAATTCCCAAATGTATTACGGACAGGATACTATGTTCTATGAACTTGACACAATTTCACGGTTGTCTCATTTAATTCTCAAAGCAACCTATGCAGTTAAGTCACTTGTGCAAAGAAAAACAAACAAAAACAACTAGTAAATGGCAAAACTGAAATTTGAATACAGATCTGACTCCAAAGCCTGTATACTCACTGTTATTTAAAAGATTTACTGATTTAAGAGAGAGACAGAGGGAGGGAGGGAGGGGCAGAGGGTGAGAGAGTCCCATGAAGACTCAGCGGTGAGGGCAGAGCCCGATGCGGAGCTCAATCTCAGGACCTGAGATCACAACAGGAGCCAAAACCGAGTCAGATGCTTAACCAACCGCGCCACCCAGCTGCCCCATACTCACTGTTATTTTTAAAAACCTATCAAACATTTTTAAAAGGAGTATCAGAATACCAAAAGAACTTCCACAAGTTAATGACCTTTGCCAGTAAGTTGAAATTTACAGATTACATCTGTCCCACAAAATTTCTTTTTAAAAGGAACTCATCTAATCCACAAACCAGAAAAGCAGTCTTTAGTAAAGGCTATAAATTTAAGTCACAGAAGTCCAGGAAAAGATTGGCTAAACAGAGTTCAGACAGTATTACCAACAAAAGACAGTTGTCAATAATGGTTCTCGTCAGACAGCTCAGCTAACAAGAGAAGCACCTTTATTACGTAGTGTATCCACTGAGCTCAGTTACATATATTACTGTGAGAAAAAACTAGCACTGAAAATGGATTAGTGTCATTTACGACGGGCTGTGCCTCCCTCAACAAAAAATGAACGCAACATGTATTTCCTTATACAGCAACTTTTCCCAAAGAGAATAAATAGGAAAATTACTATGTAGGCTATCCTCTAGAAACTCTGGCTATCTCCTACATTTAAAAGAATAAAAACAAGTAGCCACATGGTTGTAGGTAAGGAATAAGATTTTCATAATTTGTAATATAATGGTGATAGTGCTTTCAAAGAGAAACCCATGCATACTTCTAGTAATCTAGTATGTTTGCAATTAAAATACCTTTGTTTTCATCTATATTGTCATTTAAAAATTTTCCCAATAGGAGAGACCAATGAAAAAAGAAAGAAAATGGAGGAGTGACAGAAGTAGAAAGTTTCTGTCAGAGGCCAAACAAGCAGATGGAAGATACTAAGTGAAGGTATTAAGAGGATACTAAGTGAAACAGAGTAGACTCAGAGTGACACTCCACTTGTGACCCACATGTTGTTCTGAGCTAAAATTCTAACTTGCTAAATTCCAGTTATTCAAAAGGCATTTTTGTATGTGAGAAATACTGTACCTCTTTTTCCACTTCACCTTAATATAAATCAAAATGCATCTAATTTAATTTATTACTTTTGGGTTTACACCTTTGGTATGATTTTTTTAGAGCAATACAGTTATTATTACAGTAGGATATAGAAGATCTTTAAAACATTCTGTGACTTTTCAAATGCTCTGCAAGTAAACCTATCTCCTATAGTGTCTTTTAACTCTACATATTCTTAGTATCTGCATATTATCTTTTCACATTTGAGCAGTAGGTGCTTAACGAATGACATCTGTTTTGATACTCTACCTGTGCAGGAGAGTTATCTTCACCTTGCTTCTTCTTTTTCTTTTTTTTCTTTTTAGATTTCCCAGTTGGAAGAGCTCCCTCTCCCTTTTCTTTATCATCATCTGAAACCTGATGTTAAAAGCAAAAGTATTAAGTGAAACAATTGGTTAAATTTTCATTATTCAGAAATTATGGAATAATTTCATTCATTAGGTTCAGTCTTCATCTCCTAAATGCTAAGTAAGAATTAGTAATGAGTAATAAAATGGATCTAAAATTACATATTTAAAAAGAACGAAGTACACGGAACTTCATTCCCCTATTATCTATGATAGACGACCTTTTTTTTTTTTTTTTACATATTTCTGATTGTTTTTATATGCTCTGTTAAGAGAATGACAAGCTACCGAGTGGGAGAAAATATCTGCAAACCATATATCCAACAAAGGACTCGTGCCTCAGACTATATAAAAAACACTAAAAATTCAACAGTAAACAATCCAATTAGAAAATGTGTAAAAGATATGAACAGACATCTCAAAGACAGAGGACAGACAGATGGCAAAGCAGCACATGGAAGATGTTCCACATCATCCGGTATTAGGGAAATGCAAATTAAAATCACAGTGAGTTCACTACACACCTATCAATAATGTCTAAAATAAAAAACAGTGACAAGCAAGTGTTGGCAAGGATTCAGAGAAATACGATCACTCATTCATTGTAAGCGGGAACGCGAAGTGATACAACCACTCTGGAAAACAGTTTGGCAGGTTCTTAATATATTAAATATGCAACTATTATACAACCCAGGGACTGTCCTCCTAGGCACTTATCCCAGAAAAATGAACACTTATGTTCACACAAAAACCTGTACATAAATGTAGACAGCAGCTTTATTCACAATAGCCCCCAGCCAAAAACAATCCTGATGTCCTTCAACAGAATGATTGAACAATCTGAGGCATATCCACACCATGACTACTCAGAAGTAAAAAAGAACCAGCTAATGATGCACACAACAATCTAGATGAGTGTCTAGAGAATTATGCTGAATGAAAAAAATAACAGTATGAAAGGTTACATGCTGTATTATTCTATTCATAGAACATTCTTGGAATGATAAAATTATAGAGATGGAAAGAGATTACTAGTTGCCAGGGGTTACCAGGGGGGTGGTGACAAGAGGAAAGAAAGGGTGGCTATAAAAAAAAAAGGGCAACATGAGGGGTCCTTGCAGGATGGGAATGTTTTCTGTATCTGACTGCATTAATGTCAATATCCTAGTTGTGATACTGCTCTCAAGTCTTTCAGGATGTTACCACTGGGGGACTGGGTAAAGAGTACAGGGGATCTCTCTGTATCATTTCTCACAAGTGCCTGCCACTCTACAGAAGGCTTAATTTAAAAAAAATTGAATTTGAGATGGAATGTCCTTGAAAATAACATTCTGCAGGACAAAAATAGTGAACTAGAACGTTAAATTAGTATTCATAATATCCCTTCACACATATCATATAGTTGACTTTTCTATGAAAAAGTGCATTTTGTTTCTTCTGCACAGATGACAGCCAAGATTCCTAGCCTATCCTTATAGGATGAGATGATGGGGTAACTACTATTTCCCCGCTCAGCAGCATAGTCATTAGGATGACTCTGGAGGTCTCATGAACCACCAAACAGTCCACAGAAATTACTAGCAGATGGAAAAACAAAATCCTACACAAACTTAGCTAAGAGATGTTCAGTACAAGTTGGTTGCCAGTTGTGGAGAAACTTCCACAGAAGTTTTCACCCTAAGCTCATTGTGATTAAAATACCACGTGAAAAAATGTATCCTATAAGGAATATTCAGGCCACAAGGACTCTGGGCAGTCTGCTTCTCAGCCAATTAACATCCAACCATAAGAGAACTGTAGTTCCTGATGGCAAAACACTATTTTTGTTCATGGGGAAAAAGGCTGAAATCAACTCCATACCATCTTTTAACTCGCACAAAAGAAGTGACATTTTGACACATTTATTTTAGATTATTAAAAGACATTATTGATAAACTTAAAATTCCGTAAACCCTTCCCAATCCCATTTCCACACCACCTCCCCTAGGGGTTTACCCTAGGGTTTATCATTACCATGGTAATGGTTTACCGTTACCATTACCATGAACTTCTTTTGTGTCCATCCAATCAAGTTTCTTTTTATAAATTCTGGTGTGTTCACACATACAAAATTTATATAAATGGTATCATACTGTATCTTTCCATAAACCTGTCCATCATTCAACATGTTTTTGAGATTCTATTCATGTTGATATTAATGTAACTTGTTTCGTTGATTTTTAACATCTAATATGTGATTGTACAAACCTGTCACATTTTATTTCTCCATTCCTCAACTGATGGGCATTTAGATATTGCCCCATTTTTGCTAAGAGAAATGAAAGACAATCTCCGAATATACTCAGAAAAAGAACTGCTATGATATGTAACAGTCTTTACTCCATTCAGTGATTCTACTCTGTAATTCTGATGATCAGGCACAAGGAAGTTTCAGTTAAAAAAACAGATTTTTGGTTGCACATTAACTAAACATTCAACAAATACCAGAATGATTATGGTGTGTTAAGGTACCGTACCAGGAAGCTTTTCTTTCCTTAACAGACTTTATTTTTTAGGGCAATTTTAGGTTCACTGCAAAACTGAGCAGAAGGCAAGAGATTTTCATGTACTCCCCACCCCCACACATGCACAGCCTCTCCCACTATCACTATCCCTCCCCAGAGTGGGACATTTGTTACAACTGATGAGCCTACACTGACACACGATTATCACTCAAAGCCCCTAGAATCTACCTTAGGGTTCACTCTTGGTGTTGTACATTCTACAGCTTTGGGAAAAATGTATAATGACATGCATCCACCATTATAGTGTCTCTACAGAGTAGTTTTACTGCTCTAAAAACCCTCCATGCTCTGCCCATTCATCTCTCTCTCCCCCTAACCCCCTTGACCTTCATATTACCTATCAACTGCCCCCCTGTACATTTCTTTACACCCTTAATAATAAATCCCATTACTACCTCTTCCTTCCTGTGGTCTCTAAAGATCAGAGGTACTACCATGCTATTATATTAAAGGCCAACCCACAATCCACTCATGCCTAAGATTCCCCTACGTCTATTGCCAGGAACTTACTCTATTAGTCAAATCTCTCAGTTATGTTTAGCTTTTACTTTACTCTAGATCCTTTCCCTTTGTAACCCTAGATGTGTTAAAGCAGGGGTTGACAAACTACAAGTCTGGCCCGATGCCAGTTTTTGTAAATAAAGTTTATTTCCCTATAGTCTACGGTTGCTTTTGCACTACTGTACGGGACTTTAATAAAAAGTTTACCGACCCTGCACTAAAATCTCTCCTATCATTAAAACACAAACAACCCCCAACAAAACCCTTCCTGATACTACAGTGTGCTGTCATCCACTACCTCTCCTCCATTTCTATCCAAACTTACTTTAGAAAAACCTTGTAATTGTTACTACTCTTTCCTAACCATTTACTCAACTTACTGCAATATGGTTATTAGTCCAAGATTTCTTTCTTTTTTTTTTTTTTAAAGATTTTATTTTTTGACAGAGAGAGAAAGTGAGAGAGGGAACACAAGCAGGGGGAATGGGAGAGGGAGAAGCAGGCTTCCCGCTGAGCAGGGAGCCCGATGCGGGGCTCAATCCCAGGACCCTGGGACCATGACCTGAGCTGAAGGCAGACGCTTAACAACTGAGCCACCCAGGCTCCCCTAGTCCAAGATTTCTAACGAAACTGCTCTTAATTACCAGAGAGCAAATGTCTCAGCCTCTGTGACCCAGAACTCTCTTCCCTCAGTCTCTTTCATGGGCTTTTTTCTCCTTAAAAGTTGGGAGTTTCCCAGATTCCTATGTTCATTCCACTGCTCTTTTCAAGTCTACAGATTTTTCCTAGATATTTCACCTACGCTCAAAGTGTTTAACAACCATGTACTAATAACGTCTAAACAGATCTTTTCCCTAAGCTTTAACCTGGCACAAAACCAACTCCTCTTTGGCATTTCAGCAAAACGCTCTGCATTTAACATATCCCAAATGGAACCAACCACCCTTCCCCCAATTAACTAGCCTTTGCTCCTATATTTTCTCTGTTGGGAGGACTACTTCCACCTTCCCAGTTACCCAAGCTAAAATCCCGGAAGTCATTTTGATGACTCCTCCTCCATTCAATTCTTTTTTCTTTTTTTTTTTAATTTTATTTTATTACGTTAATCACCATACATCACATCATTAGTTTTTGATGTAGTGTTCCATGATTCACTGTTTGCGTATAACACCATTCAATTCTAATCATGTCCTGTGGATTTTATTTCAATGTATTTTTCAAGTCCGTTCTGTATTCCGTGTACCATTCTTACCACTACTGTCCTGGACTACTAAGCAACCTCTAAACTGGTCTTCCTGCCTTTTCCCACATATGCCTCCACCTTTTTCTACATGGGCTACCAGTGTAACCCACGGAGAAAAAAACACTTTAGCTTAAAATCCTTCCATTACTTACAGGATAAAATCCATGGTTTTAAATGACATTCAAGAACTTCTAGCATCTGGTCCCTGCCTCCCTCTCTAGTTTAATTTCTGACCACTCTTTGTTTTGCATTCTGCTTTTACCTTCAGGATGCTTTTGCTAAAACTCCCAAGTGCTTCCCTAATACCCAACACATACTGTAACATGACTTTTACCTGCTGATGTGCCGGTCTCCTTCCTCTCCTCCCTAACCAGACTGTAGGCTCCTGGAAGGCAGTAACCGTGTCTTATTACCGCTTCTCTACTAACCAATCAATACCTGACTTATGGCAGATGTTCAATTAATATTTGTTGAATACTAACAGCCCTATTATCTTCAGAGACTCCTTGACTTTCACCCTAATTCCTACAGCCAACCAGATGCAGTTTGATCAGCAGCTTTATATCTCTGGTAAACACCACTTCCATTTATTTTTCAAAGCTATCAATTTAGTTCATTATCTCCTACCTGATTCATGTAACTGCCTCTTTAACACTTACCCCCAAATAGTACAAAATAGCTTCCCAAGCTTCTTGTCTTTCCACTGTATTCAGCTTAATTTTCCTAACCCCAGTGATGATTAGGTTATCCCTAGTTTAAAAGCCGCCGACAGGTTATCATCTACAGAATTTCACAAAAATATGGCAAGGTTATCTATCATTCCTTTCATTTATTTACTGAATGCCAAGCATGTTGCTAGAGCTACAAAAATAAAAACTTCATGGTCCCTTTCTTTAAGGAACGTAGCCTAGAAGGAACGTACTTTTCATCAACTGATTCCACACATGTGTACTATTTACCTCTCCACTAAATTATTACCTATTTTCTTGCCTTGATGGCTTTTTCATGGTGTTCTCAGTCTTGTCTGCTGCTATGAAGCCTTCCTAAATCCTTCACTGGCAACTGATCTAGTCTTCTCTAAACACACTAAGAGTTGATATAATACCAACTATTTTTAATTCTGATAAGAGGAAAGGAACTGTGTTTTCTTATCAGTGCCTAATAGTGCTTTCCACATATCACAATTCTCAATAATTTGTGGAAAGAAAAAACAGTGATACAGGGAAGGCATGCAGGCATAAGGACTGAAGCAAATACAATCAGAATGGCTCAGAAGCAATTCTACCACTGGATGTATTTATAATACAGAATGTAACCCCTAATAATTATAATATAGTTGGGTGCACAGAGAAATAGACATACCCGCCAATGCCTTTACTCACTTTTTGATCATCAGGAATTGGTTCCTGGGACTTTAGAAGTGAAGCTCTTTCTTCATCTACCCAATTTCCCCACTCTTCTGCTGGTGCATTCCAATCAGAGCTGGGATCAGCAGAAGACAGACCATCTAAAATTTAACAGTGTGAATTAGGTATCTATCATTTCTGCCAAAAACTAAAATGCAAAAACTAAAATTCCTTATGTTGAACTAAGCTGTATTTTTAAACTATTGTTCTTCCTTCTTTCTCCCAAGCACATTTTAAGAGCTAGAAGAAAACCCAAGAACATGATGGTAAACACCTTTGTCCCACTTGTGCTAGGCACATCATATGGCTAATTAAATGGAATTTCTAAGAAACTCTAGGAAACTTAAGAATTACCTATTTAATTCCACTCTCCCAAATTCCTTTGTGATCAAACACCTGACTTTGCTCTGTTTGTACTGTTTATGTCTAATTTGGTCTGGGTCCTGGTCATTTTTTTTTCCCTCCTTGGTCATTCCATTTTTGTACTTGATTTATTTTCTAGGGTACAGAATTAGTGAATCTTGAACAGCAGTGCCAAAATTATGGTCCCCATCCGTCCTTTTACACTACACCTCCTCCCCTCCCTAGGAGCTTTTCAAGATTAGGTTCTTCAAATTCACCAAGTCACGACAGAATAATGTCTTCTTTCTTCCTTTTTTTGGGGAAACAATTACTTTGTGACTTTTAATGGTTAATACTTAATCTGTACCTTCTTACATTTTCCAGATTATTCAATGCTACTTTTATCATTCCAAAATATTCAAGTCACTTTCAGGGTTTCTATCATCTATTCTCAAGAATAAATTTATATTTCAGACCTCTAGATTCCTCTCTTTCACTCTAAAAGGCACTGAATTTTACCTCCTTTGGGAAGCTATCACTTGCTTATTCTAAAAAGGGAAAAACAATCTTTGGCTTTATCCTGGTTAAGTAGCGCTCAAAAGTCAATTCTTCTTTCCTCTCCCTGGATTTCCGAAATGCTTCCACATCACTTCTGCAATGACTACTTACAGCCAGGTTTCATTTCCAGCGGTTTAAGATGATAGGGGTTAAGCTCTATTTCTAAATGGTAAACAAGTCATTCTAGCACTGCTTTACTGAAAATTCCAATCTTTTCCCATTTATGTCAAATGTTACTTTTATTAACTACTGAGGTCTTTCACATACACTTCAGTCTGTTTCTGGAATTTCTATCCTATTTCACTGATATATTCCTGGGATGGTGCCATATATAACTCTGTAATACTTTTTAGTTAACTCGAATGACAAATCTGCCTGATTCTTATTTTCTTTGCTGTTCTTATTTTTTCATGTGAACTCTATTATTTTTCTTTAAAGGGGAGGTATTATGATACCTCATGAAGGCTTTAAAACCTATGTTTCAGAAGAATATAATCCGGGAAAATGCTCACAGAAAAAAAAAATAGACAAAATTGTCTTTAAAACATGATCCCAAATTTATATGAGGAAGAGATTGAAGAAAGTAATACAGTAACAACAGATATATCTTAATAGTAGAATTACAGGAATTTCACCTTATTAAGCACTTACTATATATTAGAACTTGAGCTGGGTAGGTACTAGACATACAAAAATGAGTACAATATACCCCCACCCCCAACATGGAGCTCCTGGTCTTACCTATTCAGAGATGAAGATAGGTTAAGTACAAGAGACATTTAAGTACAGAATGAGACTTTCTGTCACAAGGGTATGGAAAGGGAGAAGAGGGGCTAAAACAGTAGAGGATGGAAAGAGACTGAAAATAAGAACTGGTAGTCTAAACATGTAACAAGTGATGACAACTGTGAAGTATGTTACAATAAAGGAAGTCCGTTCCTAAATTTACTACCACGAGCAGGAATCCAGAGGCCGTATTGCACGGTACACCCACATCGGGGTTAAGGGTATGGACCTTGGAGTCAAACAGATCTACATTTGAATAGTGATCTACCACATAATAACTATGTGATATGGGTCAAATTTCATAGTCGGTTATACACTAACTCTCCAGGATGACTGAGATGATTATATTAGATACATCTAAAGCAGTGCACAGCAATGCAGTATGTACTCAATGAATGGTAGGTGTTCTGTTTATGTAGCACTTACGACATTAACAATAGAAAGCCAGTTTCTAAGCTATCAGGCATACACAACTAAGAATTTGTTTCTTACAACCCTGGTCAATCTTTCAGTAAGATACATTTGGTGTGTCGTAATGTAGAAATCATTTTTATAAGTATAAAGGCATCTAGCAGACATCTGGAACCAACTGTTCATCTTACATTAAGCATTCATTAAGAACACTGTTAGGAGATCTGAATGTCACAGGTTTTGCTTCAACCTCACAAATAAGAAATGCAGATTTGGCAAACTGCTCTCCATAAGCCAGGTCTCTAAGGCCTCTGGCCAGAAAAGACACTTTCTTTTATAGGAAAAAAAAGTTTAGACAAGTGGGTGGGTAATATACTAACATATAAACTAATTTCTTTCCTTTTTTTTTTAGATTTTATATATTTGACAGAGAGAGACAGCGAGAGCAGGAACATAAGCAGGGGGAGAGGGAGAGGGAGAAGCAGGCTTCCCGTTGAGCAGTGAGCCCGATGCGGGGCTCGATCCCAGGACCCTGGGATCATGACCTGAGCGGAAGGCAGATGCTTAATGACTGAGTCACCCAGGCACCCCATAAACTAAGTACGGTGGTGTGGGGGGGATAACAGGTAAAAATCTAGTAAAGTATTTAGTAACATTACTTTTTTAAAGGCTTAGATAACCAGAAAGGCTGGGGAATGACTGCAGCCTACGGTTTAACCCATGTAAGAACATTAACAGAAGCACAAATCCCTATTGGCTCTATAAAGGTTTATGGTGATTTTTTCCAGGTTTATTGATTTCAGGTTTGTTTGTTTTCTTATTAACTGGGATCAAATAAAACTATAAAACAAAAGATTACCTAAACATAAAAGTTGTCACCAGGACTTTTCAATACATAATTCTTAAGATTCATGGGCCTAATATGCTAAAAACTTCTTTCCTTTAAGGAAACTATACAGTATAGTTTCATTCACTGGATAGTTTTCTCCATTTATAAACAGAGTTAACTTCTCATTTCTCAAAATTTTCCCATCGGTTTGCCAATATCTTTTCAAAGAGCTGTATTAGTGTCTTTTCAAAATGGTAAGGAATTTATCTATTTAATTTGCTTGAATAATGCTTTAGGTTTAAGCATCTCATAGCTAATCTCTTATTTTATCTCAGTAAAAAAATGGCTGTCAGCTGCTTCTGGTCAGAACTTTAGTATTAACTTTAATACAACAAAACAATTATGTTAGAAAGACTCTCCAGTGTTCAAACAGACAATACTAATTGACTCCACTGAGTAGACAAATGTTGCCCTTAGAAGAGTATCAACAGCACCACAGCACTTACTGAATATTCAGGCAGTGTTCTAAGTGCTAATATTTATATACTTTATTATTTAATTCTCTCAACAACTGTGGGAGAAGAACTATTCTTTTTACAGATGATGAAACTGAAGCATACAATGACCATGTACCTACCTAAGTTTATGTCAAGGCTAAGATTCAAACCCAAGTAGTCTGTCCTCAAAGCTCATGCTCTCAACCCCTAACTATGCTGCAGCAAATTCACTCACTCTGGTGTGCCAACAAAAACAAAGTTCTATTCAAAATCTGACTTTTTACAGGGGTTATGATGATGTTGTAAATCCTTTATGATCCAGACAACAGATAAGATTAACATCTGTCTTTAAAAAATGTATCTTCTATACTTTAGAATCTTAACTTTATATTCAAGTGTTTGGGTAAATCCAATGCCTTTTTTTCAGATAATGATGTGTATGCCTCAAACCAGAGGGTCAATATATTAATCATATCACACTATGAAATGTAAAGCTAGCATATGTGTATACACACACACACACACACATATATACATACTCTGTGGATTAGTAATCTCAAATACTAAATCATGCATTTTGTAAATTTGGAAGGAATAATTAAGTGCACGGAGTACCAAAATTAGCCACATTATAGATGATAAAACAAAAAATAAAATTCACAGAGAAAAATGAGGTTAAAGAGAAACTCTGGACTTAAAAGGCTGCTAAGAGCCTAGCCAATGAAAGATGGTGTTTCTGATACTTTTAAACTTTCAACAGAGTCCTGTGGATACATCTTTTTCTTCAGTCTTTTATTTCGGCAGCCAATCATGTTTTTCATGTTGTAAGAATTCTAAAATGGATAAAGGTGGAGTAATTCTGTGCAGGCAGGGAAGCCTCGAGGCCTGCTGCTCAGCTGTCCTCCGTCTCGGCCCATAGCTGCCTCACCGCTATTCTCTGGCATTCCTACAACCCACTCTTCAATTCTACCCTGCACAGAGCTGATCTTTCTTCCCAAAGTACAGAGACTTTATTTTCCAAAATCGTTACCTTCACATCCTGTTAATACCCTGGATTTATATGGTACTTTGTAATTTATAAAAAGCTTTCATGTTCATTCATTACCACATTAAAACCTCACAACAATCTACAGAAGTAGATGGGACAGATTATTTGCTCCATCTTACAGCTCAATTAATCTAGATTCCAAGATAAGTGCTTAAGTCAAGCCGTATGAGGTACAACGTTTTAAAGTGAGAACTAAAGTAGGAAATACCTTCTTCTCAAGTAGCATGCCAACCCCACCTCCCTAATCTTTAGCCAGCAATTCAAGGCTTTCTATGGCCTAATCTACCTTTCCACCTCACTTCCTTTAATCTGTAGGAACTGTGCTTCGGTGAATCTACAGAGACTAAGTAATCTACAGACTAATTTTTGTACTGCATTGCAAGTTTACCTTCGCGATTACAATCATCACTAAGGCTGGACCCTGTGGTGGTTAAGAGCATGAACTCTGGAGCCAGACTACCCAAGTTTGATACCACTTCCTCCACTTAACTAGCTGTGTGACCTGGGTTAGATAACTTTGCTTTGCCTCAGTTTCTTCAGCTGGAAAGTGTGGGAAAAAACACATACCTTGTAGAACTGTTGTAAGCATTAAAATAAGCTAATAAAATGCACAAGACTTAAGACGAGTGCCTGGCACAGTCAGCTGTTTGCTTTTCTTATCATTATTACTACTGAACACCTCTGTATAAAGCACTGCACTAGGTACCGAGGATCCAAGAGTAACTGAGAATTGCTATTTTTAGAGGGTTTCATTTCAACTCTACTTGAAGAAACACAAGATATTCTTCAAGAATTTTTTTTTTTTTTTTGCACTAGCCAAATGGTGGAGAAGTCCACAAGGTAACATATAAATGCTAAATAAATAGAAAAGGATGGCTGTAAAAATTCTAAGGAATACATTCTTAGGTTTGAGGTTGTGTGGGGAAAAAAAAAATCTCAGATTTCTAAGTGAAGATGGCGTAAGTTCTCTGAACATAAAAACCATATTCTTTTTCCCTCCTCCTCCTTTTTTTTTTTTCTTTAAATAACTCTTGTCATTAACCTTCCTAAGTTTCTACTGGGAATCAGGCTAAGAAAATTATTTTATAATACAAAACTTGCATACCTCACAAACTGAAAGCCATTCCTATATATTATATTCACTCTATTATACTAAAACTAAGAAGAGAAACAGAACATTCATATAAAAAAATTTTTAAAATAAAAAACTATAGAGCAACTATAAGAAAACATCATGTTTAAATATTGCCTCAATCACAAAGAGTGTAAATTTAAATTCTACAGTTATTCAAACATCAGTTTACAAGTAGTACACATCTGGTATTAAATTATATTACTATGGCCTAAGAGGTGAAAATTAGGATTAAAATTAAAACATAAAGCATGAATTTAGGGTGCTAGAAAGGAAATTCTGAAAAAAACAAAACAAAAACATAATTTTTAAAAGGACATACTTAACCCAGACCATTCATCATCGATATAGGGTTGATTACGGCTAACATCCCACTGATAATCAGAAGTGGTAGAATGAGAAACTGGCTCAGCAGTAGACCCTTAAATGAAAACGAATGCAATAAAATTAAAAATGGAATTTTCTAATGATGCTTCATAACAATAGTTCTATACTTTGCACACGGAGTCTAAATTATTTTTTATTTCCCCTAAAAGGAAAAAGTCAGACATTAGAAAAAGAGTTAAGATAAGGAAAAGTAGAATTGAGGGTAATTTCAGATTAAGCATGATAATCACTTGACTGAATTCACTGACTGGAACTATATATTGTCCCTAGTACCAATCTATTCGATTTTGTCTTTTATAACCCATATTTCAAACTGATTATCTACAAATTTCAAGAAGGTGAAAAAAGTTGTTCTATTTTTGTTCTTAATGAAAAATAATAAAGCACAAAAGAAATCCTCAATGTTTCAGGATATGCCTATAACCTGAGAACCTTGAAAAGAGAGAGCTAGAAAATATCTAGGTTTGCTGGAACCTTCTGCCTAAGAAAAAGTTAAAGAAACAGATGGTTATCTAGAGAGGTGAGACAGAGGGAAGCCAGTGGTTTAGAGGCCAAGTTAAGTTCAGGTGCATTTAAAGAGAAGAGACTATTATAATCTCCTAAGTTCCTTCTGTTTTCATTTTTGGGGAGGAGGTGGGGTGAGAATGGGGTCACATAGTTTTTAGAATCTGATGAAAGCTGTGATGGACTCTGTCCAGAAGCTACACAAAATTTTGCAGATAATTTTGGGGGCACAGAAATTCATGGGTGCCAGGTCAAAAACCCTTGTTCTATAGCTATAAATTCATTTTAGAATGCAAACATAAAGCAAGGATTCTCCATCAGGGATACATATACCCCAGACCTTCTGGATCACAATTTTCACATGTACTGGAATCCTTGGGAGACTCTGATCCTCACTTTGGATTTGGAGCCATTGATACAAAGAAATGGTTAAGAAAACCTGTTACTGTAAAAGACTTACATACAATCATGTCCTCTTATAAAAGTCCTTCCTAACTTAAACGTTTTCACCTGGTTATAGATGATCTTACCAGCCTTCCATAATATAATGGCTTGATACATACTTAAAGTAGTTATGTATTTTTTAATAAAAATTTTAACAGTAGGACAACCCTATAAATCCATATATAATTAGTATATTAGCTGCTTATAAGCACCACAGTAACACTATTGCTATTTCTTTAGCAGCCCATGTTGCTTTCTCTTTCTCTGAATATATGAAGAGAATAACATCTGTGCTGTACCAAGTCACCAAATGAAAGAGGGAATTAATTCTATCTCTGGAACTGAAATGTAGTCTATGAGAGCAGCGGCTGGCAAACTATGACCCACAGGCCAAATGCAAACAGTCCCTTTCTGTGTGACCCATAAGTGAAGATCAGTTTTTATATTTACAAATGACTGAAAAAAGATCAAAAGAATAGTATTTCAAAACCAGACACAGCCATCTGTTTATATGTATCATCTCTGGCTGCCTTCCTGTTACAATGTCAGAATTAAGTAGTTCCACAGAGACAGTATGGCCCATAAAGCCTAAAATATTTATTATTTTGCCCTTTACAGAAAAAGTCTGCTGACCCCTAGTTCTAGTGACTCCAGACACTGTGGAGCTACATAATTAGTACACTGGGTCCATGAATTCCATAGTGAACAAAATGTTACAAACTAAACACCTCCCACATTTATGCAGTATTTGTTAAGTACATATGACTTCTACATGATTAATAAAAGGCACATCCATTACAGCATTTAAGTAATGCTGAATTGGTAATAGTTTATTAGTAATACTGTATTTTCTAAATCAATAGATACTCTAAGTAGAGTTATTATGTGAGGTTCTACATAACCTAAAAGGCTTAGATATAAACTCATGATGAATAAGGGCAAATAGAAATAGCAAACTGCAAGTAGAAGTATGGTAGAAATACACTAGTAACAGAAAAGTATGACCCTGAAGGGAAGGCCTTCTATTTGTATTTCTCTGTGTGCCAAGGAACTTTCAGTTATGTTATGCCACAGAATCTTCCTATCTTCACTACAGAAAGGAACCAAGCCACTTGCAGGTAAGAATTTAGGTCTTCTTTTCTCCCCTTTTATTAAGGCCTCCGCTACTTTATATTATATATCTGTTATTTATGTTGATAGCAGTACTTGACTCTTTTATTTTTCAAATAGCATGAGCTACAAAGAATTTAAACAGAAATTCTTTTGTTAACTAAATGAAAGACTGTTTTCACATACCAGAAACAGCAGAGTTAAGTGTGAGAGATGCAAAAGAAGAATTCTGTTCAGAGGTATTCATTCCCCTATCCACACTAGACCAAGCAGCTGTTAAAATAAAGAACGTCACTTGGAACCTTCAATTTGCAAAAGAAAAGTTGAAAGATATGTACAGATTTAAACTATGATAATAATATTTAAAGATAACCTTAGAAATTAGGACAATACAGCAATAGCTACTATTTCTATGACAGGCCAAGCTCTTCATACCAAACACCTCTAATCCTTAGGGTAACCCTGCTAGGCACAATTTCAGAGTAGTTAAGTGACTTTCTGACAGCCAGAAAACAGCTGAGCCATGACTGGAACTTAAGCTGATTTCCAAAGCCTATGCCTTTCTCCACTTTAGCAAGCTACCTTATTATTTACCATAATTATGCTACTACTTGGGGCCAGGCACCAAACTTGGTACTTGACATTCATTACAGCCAATCCTCACAACTACTGAAATAGGAGGTTCATACAGGTTAAAAAACTAAGCCTGATTTCCATAAAAGTTATTATGTGGGAAAATAGGGATTCATTCCAAATAGGTCCATTTCAACTAGTCCACACTCATTCTATACTGTACTATTTCCTCAATATTTTCAAGCTATTTCTTACTTATATAAATGAGTATTTTAAGGAACGTATACATCCATGAGACCAGTCACACCAGTCTCTTCTTAGTGAGTCACTACAAACCCAATTTAATATAGTTCCCTTTCAATTTCAACAAAGGTCCTAATCCACTTAGGCAGGAACTCTAACCTGCTGCTTAATTTTATCTGTAGCAACCATTAAGCAAGTACCATTTAATTTATGTCCTAATTATGAAAATGCTACATAGCTTTTATAAGTAAATTGCAAATATCTGAAAAGGCCATAGTTTTTAACATTACTCGATAAAATCTGATCTTTTGTTAAATATGAAAAGATGCTTTAAAGCATAAACATTTCTGCTTTCTTCACTATGGAAAATGAGGCTGGGAATTTAGGGACTGTCTTCTTCCAAACAAATTTTTATATTTCTACACAATTTCTGGACATTGTAGGGAAGAACAAGCTTAAAAATAATTATCAGTAAATGATCTAGAGTTTGCTTCTTGGGGACAATAGTCAACATCAATCTTTTTAGGCTTAAAAGTGATGGGAAAAACAAATAACATTGGAAGAAAGTTTTTTTGTACTTAATCACTAAAAACTCTGTAGTGTCTATTGCTCTCCCAAATAAAAGAAATAAAACAAAAATATCTGCAACAAGCATAACAGAAAAAAGTGTATGTTTAATGTACAAGGAATTACAACTTGATTAGAAAAAAAAATAACTGAAACAAGAGGCCATTAGACAAATGGGCAAAGAACATGAACAGACAATTCATAAAATAGAAATGACCAAGAAAATTGTGAAAAATATTCAACCTCATTTAACCAGAACAGTTTATGTATGTATTTTTTATCAAGTTAGAAAAGATTTTTTAAATAAGAATACCCAATCTTGGTCAGCACAGGACAAATGGCACTCATATCGATGCTGACAGTATAAATCAGAACTACTCTCTTAGAAAATACTTTGACAACATGTGATAGAGCACTGTATGTTTATACTCCCTTCAGCCAAATATAACATCACTCCCAAGAATCTATCCTAAAAAAATAACCCAAAAACAAATATATTAATACAATGTTACTTACAATGGTTAAAAAACAGAAAATTCTCTTGATAATATGGGAATAGTTGAATAATTTATATGCTATGCTTATATGATATATTATAGGGCCTTCAAATAAAAATCCTTACAATAAGGAAAATGTTCATGTTACAATATTAAGTGTGTGTGGGGGGGAAGGGACATAAAAATGCATATCTAATTTAGATTATGTAAAACAAAAAACAAAAAAACTACACAGGAAAAAAAAGACCATTAAAGAAATATAAAAAACAGTGGTTGTCATTGGGTGGTGTGATAACAGTGGGTTTTTCCTTCTCTTTTAAGTTTTCCATATTAAACATGGACTTCTTTTCTATAACACATACACAGACACAGACACACACACACACACACAGGAATTAAGTTGCTTTTTATTTGATGGCTTTCAACAAGAATAAGCTTCTCAACTACTGTCTTTATCTTTAAAACTGAGGAGAAAAATTAATTATATATACTGCAAAATAGTATAAAAGTGGATGCTGTAAACTTTTATTATTCTTATTTAAACTCAACAGAACTGTTGAAATTAATCAAAAAGTCTGCTCACACATTACATTTATAACATCACTAAAAATACACAATTATATCCCTTAGCTACACTGACAATCAGATGTGATAAAAGTATGTGAGAGCACTAAACAAAGAGCGAGTAATACATGCTATTATTGACTTTTTTAGTTACCACTTTGCTTTATGTGAAGGTTTGAGATGAGTTAGTTATTACTATTATTTCTGATTAGCTTTACTCATTTTTCTACTCATGGATTTTTTTTTCATTCCTGGAAAATTCAAAATGTACTGGAAATAAGCAATTGTAAATGAACTTAAAATTTTCTAACACTTCTTACCAATGCCAGAAAATATTGAACGGTCACTCCAACTCCTTCCCCAGTCTTTTCCATTTACATTAGCATCTCCAGTGTCTTGACCCCAGGCAGATGGCTCACTTTTCCTCTTGCCTACAGAAGCAGGTGAAACAGAATTCCACTTCTCCTCACCTGCACTGATCTGTGAGGAGAGTTTTACAGACTTTTCATTCCAGCCTCCTCCATTTACAGTGAGGTTTTCGTTCAATCCTGAAGGAACTTAAAGAAAAGAAAAGAAGATTAAAAACTGACACATGACTCCTTAAAACTGGGATATTTTCAAATTTCTCTGATTGCTTGGTTTATATTTATCACTCATTTTTTCCCCTACTGTCCTCTAAACAGCTTGAGCTTTAAAAATAAAAATGATGTCCTAAAAGTGACATGACCACCGTGGATGACTTTAATTTAAAAACTAAGAGTAGGCTTGAACTTTATATTTTAATGATGTTTTCAACAGCAGAATGACTTGCTCAAAGAAAGTACAAAAGAGCAAACCGGAAAACAACACATATTCTGCTATGCTCAGAATACTCACCCACTAAAAATATGAACACTTCTCCTTAGTTCCATGTTCTTTTCTTATTTACACACACACACACACACACACACACACACACAGTATAAGGCAGTGATTCTGAAACCTGGCTGCACGTTAAAATCAACTGAAAAATTTCTTTAAAGTAGACACTGGAGCCTCAAGCCAGACTAATTAAAATCAGAATCTCTAGGGGTGTCTGGCTGGCTCAAGTTGGTAGAGCATGTAACTTTTAATCTTGGGGTTGTGAGTTTGAGAACCATGTTGGGCACAGAGATTATTTAAGAAAATAAAAATAAAATAAAATAAAATCAGAATATTTGCATGCAGGTATATGTACATATGTGTGTGTGTTGTTTTTCTAAGCTTCCTAGATGACTGTAATGTGTAGCCAGGATTGAGAACCATGGGAATGAAGGAAGCTGACACGGTTAAAACAAGCCTGAAACAAGAAGGTGCTTTTCATTTCTGAGTTTATATTTTACTACCACACTTTTAGTTTTCAGGTAAGCTATATCACTCTACTTAATTCAATCTTTATCATAAACAAGTAAATAAAATATATTTTCTAATTGTGAAGCACGGTATAACTTCAGACTGTAGTCCATTTATTGTAAAATATTTGATATTGTTAAGGAAGCAATTTAAACGATTATTAGGTATTAAGGTTTTTTTTTTTTTTAATAAACAGGGGTAAAGTCTTTTATCCCATATATGCCTATATTAAAACCAAGTCCTCTGCCACCCCAAATCTTTCTTTTCTCTATTGGCTTACACAATGCAAGCAAGAATAAAAATCGCATGTAAACTATTACTAAAAAAATGTTTTTACATATGGGGAGAGGGAGAAACAACTAGAACATACCAAAGACTGTTAGGAAGTGGGAATGATTTTTCTTTTTATCCATTTTCCAAAATCTCTGGATTGTGATTATGTTACTTTAGTAATTAAAAATCATTTCTAAGCCTTTTTTTCCTTCTGTATCATTCATGTGAGGAAACAGACATGTATATAAGTTTCTATTTTGATGGGCCTTCAATTTAAGTTACATGTAATTTCTCTCACCCTGAAGTGTAGAATCTCCTTTTCCAGACTTAAAGTTGCTAACTTGAACATTTAGATGAGAATCACCTGGTTGAAATAGAAATAAAATTTATTTAATACTAAATAGGCCACTATGCACATTAAATTAGGAGTTAACATATAAATTAGTTTTCACTTATTATTTTTAATAAATTGTTTCTTCAAGTACTAAATTCTTATACTGGAAAAGAGTTTTACTCACAACACACTTGACATATCCTTAAGGAACTGAGTTCTATACCATATTCTTAGTCAACTAAAATGGCAATATAGGAACTGGAAAATCGCTTAAGTATATGTAGAGTCTGCTGTTCTGTAATGCTTATGAGATTCTTTTTAAGTAGGAACTGGAGAACTGGGGCTCTGTAATTGGATTCAACTTTGCCACCTCTCAACAATACCAGCTGCCTTTTCAATAATCCTGGAAGCAAACACATCCAACTTAAGAAGAACACTGCCAGTATTTGGGACCAGGACTTAGGAAATATGGCAAGAGGTACGAATACATATTATAACAAAGATACCATTTCTCTGACACTAAAAAGCATTTAATGATTACAATGTATCAAAAAGCCAGCAGACACAGGATTGTGCTAGCAAAGCAGGCATGCACAAGACAGTGAAAAAGGGTCCCCAACACAAAGGAGCTCTAAGGCATGGCTAATATGTAACAGCGAAAATGCATAAATAGAAGTCATTGCTGTACCAAAGCAATACATTCCAGCAAGTCATCAAGCAAAAAAGTAAAATATACCAAGGCTAAGAAAGTGGTCTGGAGACAAATGCAGGGTGAGGAGGCAATTAATAAAAAGGTGAAGGAAGAAAAGTCAATGCCCAAGTTGAAGAGTATCACTCTGCAGACTGATGTCTTCAGGGTAAAAATGATGGCAATGTAAAGAGCTTTAAGAAGCCATCAGTACTGGATCGTGTGAGCACTTGAAATACTTGGGAAGAATATCAGCTCAACAACCTCTGAAGTTTCAGTCTAGCTTTATCAAACACCTATGGCATTCTCAAAAAGTTAGGGTGATAAGAAGTCCAGATAGAGCCTGCACTATCCAGAACATGCTTGCTTCATCTTGGAATGAGAGCATCCAACATGCAGAAGGGTGACAAATAATTTTATTTAATAAATGTCTTGTCCACTCTAAGAAATGGAGATGTAAGAGAGTTGCGGCAAAGCAATGCACACAAGAAAAAAAGGCAACATCATTTTCTCATGTGACTCAAGGCAGAAAGGCAATTTTAATTTAGCAGGCCATTCATTAGGCGGTACGTAACAAGTAACACTGCTAGTCATCAGGTAAACCAATATGTGGTCCACAGTGCTCTCATGAAGAAGGGTATATCAGCACAATGATGAAAGCAGTTCAAAATAGTCAAATTTTGACATAATGATATTTTGTACATCTGATTAAAAGGAGCTGGATTTGATGTATGACTCTTATGTTCCACTAATATACCTTTATTCTTCTTGGAACCAACAGGAAATGATGCAGTTGTAAGTTGCTCGGTGGGAACTGTGATGGTATTTTCTATCCCAGGGATAGTTGAATCCAATGAACCAGAATCAGTCTGCACCTTATCACGTTTACGCTGCTGTCGTTTCTCTCTGTGACTAATTTTAGTTTCCCAGGCTCCTGACATAGCCCCAGAAAAAAAAGTGTTATTCAGTAAAGGGGAAAACAAAACGTTGTAGTTCTGAGGGGGGAAATGAGGCAGGGCACATAAGATATCATGATAAATTAAGAGAGTAAACTAAAAACCCAGAGTACTGATTATATTAATTTATCCTAAGAATTTATTCTAATCCCAATATGTTGTTTTAGCAGCTAACTGCCATTATTATTTATTCTGGTAATTTTTATCAACTGTCACCTATGATTTAGGAAAAATGATAACTATAAGTCATCCTGTAGATCTTTTTATCCCACTGCAGAGAATTCAGAGTGTTATAAATAACTACTCATAAATGGGTTTATTTGGTGATGACAATAAAGGGCTTCCTCAAGAATTTTGTACACAGCCTTCTAGGGACAGTGTATTTGAGAACAAGAGGGAAAAAGTCCAAATCATATTTCTAAGAAACAAAGACAAAACAATTGCTCAAGATACTGAGCTAGACCTTAAATCTCAAAGTGGTTCCCTTCAGGAAAAGCACTATTAGATTCTTATAACTTAGATTAAAAAAAAAAAAAAAGTTTTCTAACAACGTCACAGATCTGTACATTAAAATCTGTAATTATTAAAAGAAAAGCTAGATACAAGATTAAGCGACACAAATGCAGCTTTTATATAATGCACCATGGTAAAAAAGGATTAAAAATTTTTCTATAGTCCTTTCACTTGCTCAAGTACCTTCATCAACTTCCTTTCCATCATGGCGTGAACTGTTTTGCACTGCTTTAGCATCTGACTTTGATTTCTTCTTATTTTTCTTTGACTGAAAGTAAAATAGAATGTTACTTAATATTTCATTATGTTTTTGAAAAGGTAGGAGTCAGTAAGATACATAATGAAATGTATGATGCTGACAACCAAAAAATTTAATGTTTGATTAAAAAACTTAACATTAAATGGCAATAATAATATGAGGTTACCATTTATTGAGTGATTACTCTATGCTAAGTACTTTGCACTCATTTTCTTCTTTATTCCCTAAAAAAAAAAAAAATCACTAGAGAAGGTATTATTCCCATTTTAGAGATGAGGAAATGGAGACTTAGAGCTGTTAAATATTAAATAGGCTGCCTGGGGTCACATTAAGAGCTAGTAAATGGTAGAGTAAAATTAGGAAATAGGTCTATCTGGTTCCAAAGTCTGTGCCCTTAGAAACATGCTACCCTAACTTACATCATAAATAAGGTACTATAATATGTGTTCAGAACAATAAAATAAAAACCTACTGCTAATGTTCAGAAAGAAAATAATGCACTGATTATTGGTTTTTGGATTTCATAAAACACATTGCTGGAATACCCTACTGTATAGCAAATTAGTGAGTCAACTGTACAAAGTAGATAATATTTTGTCGGTTTCAGAGCAATGTGAAAATACCTAGGATTCGTATATGGTAGATGTTTAGTATTTAGTAATTCATTAAAGAAAAAACACCTACACACACAGAAGGTAAGGATATTCTGAAATAGCCTTCCAATTCCCTTCCGCTAATATTTTCTCTTCTCAAAAGCTCATTAAAACCTCATAAAGCCATGATTCCTATAGATTAGTGCTTCAAGAAGAGTACTAACATTCATGAAATAGTGATTTTATTTATAATTTGTATTCACTCATTTAACTATTTATTGAGATTGGCTACACATATGTATTATTGTACACTATCTTAAAATTAAGTTTACCACCAAAAAGACTGTATCTTGATAGTAAGCCTTTTTCATGGGTAAAGCAGTAAAGGATAGTAAGCAATGAATGACAGCTCTTAAGAGTGATTAAAAATTCTTTGACAACAGGAGTAAACAACAAACTATTCAAAACAATGTTTTTTTATTTCCCATAGTTGATCTGTACTTGTTTCTTTGCATGTTCTCATGAACATGTATCACGTCTCGCGTACTGCTTTATTACACCTACCAAACCAGGCTCATATCCACTTTACAAAAACTGAGGCATCATCTACATACCATAGTATTTATCCTTAAGTGTACAATTCAGGGGCGCCTGGGTGGCTCAGTTGGTTAAGCGACTGCCTTCAGCTCAGGTCATGATCCTGGAGTCCCGGGATCAAGTCCTGCATCGGGCTCCCTGCTCAGCAGGGAGTCTGCTTCTCCCTCTGACCCTCCCCCCTCTCATGTGCTCTCTCTCTTTCAAATAAATAAATAAATAGATCTTAAAAAAAAAAGTGTACAATTCGGTGGTTTTTAGTATACTCGAGGTTGTACAATTATCACCATTATCTAATTCCAGAATGATTTCATCATCCCGAAAAAGAAAGCTGGTACCTAGTATTAGTCACTCCCCACTACCCTCTTCCCATTGGCGTCCACCACCAGGCCACTTTCTGTCTGTCTGTCTCTCATATCCACTCTCAAGTACACACAATACCTTGAGCACTTTTCAATTACAGTCTAAAGTAGGGGTCAGCAAACTTTTTCTATAAAGGATCAAACAGCAAATATTTTAGGCTGTGCAAGGCATATGTATCTCTACATGTAGCAATTGTACAACTCTGTTATTATAGCATGGAAGTAGCCATATACAATATGTAATTAAATGGGCATGACTGTGTTCCAACAAAATTTTATTTACAAAAATAGGCAGCTGGTTGGATTTCGGGGGCCAGAGTTTGCCAACCTCTGGTCTAGAGCAGCACTGTCCAATAGAAATATAATGCAAGCCATGTTAGTAATTTAAAATTTCCTAGCACACAGGTTAAAAGGTTAAAAGAAACAGGTAACATTAATTTTAATAATATATGTAAATCAACACGTTCAAAATACTATTTCAAAATGTAATTAATATAAAAAACTATTAATAGCATAGTATGAGAAAGAGTGCCCAATAGCCATGTAAGTAGCTACCACATTGGATAGTACAGACCTACAGGAACTAACTAAAGTACCCCCATTTTATAGATACGAGAACTGAGGCCATAGATTATATAAATTGCCTGAGGTCATAGGGTTATTAAGTGGTAAAATGAGCTAAAATTCAGTTCCGACTCTAGATCCTGCCCTCACAAATACTCTGCTATTCTGTCTCTCTACATTTAACTCTAAATACAAATTTAATCATGTATTAGGTATGTGATTTTGGGCTAAATCGCTCTAAACCCTTTTCCCCAACTGCCATATAGGACAAAAATTCCTAACCTCACATAAGGTCTTTTAAGGATTAAGTAAGATGTGAAAGCGGATTGCTAACTACGAAACGGTATACATAAATAAGACTTTCAAGGAAAGCAACTAAGAAAAAAGGATTGAAATTACATTCACACTGAAATACTGTGATCTGTCACTAAAATAAAATCTGCAGAAAAATAAAGACAACTATCTTGGCTTAGGTCTTGTTTTAGTTACCTTTAAAAGTAACTAACCAAAAAATCATGCTTACCCAGATGAGACTTAATAACATATTATAAAAAGCATTAAAATGAATATGCATACATGCTACTATTTGCCCCAGTCATCCTCTTCAGAGAAACACCTTACTTCTGGGCAGCTCCACTACAGTTAACACTTTTGAAGGAAAACTGCAAATACAAAGTTCTAGCTCCCTTGTTACCATAGTTCTTTCCCCCAATTCGTTGTCAGACTCTACCATGGAGCTAGCCTTAGCCTCTTTTGAATGGCTGGTCTTCATGCAATCAAGATTTATTAAATACCTACAAAGTGCTAGACATATACTCCAAAACGCTTATTTGTAAATTTTACACATATCCTACTACTGATGATGTATACATGTGTAAAACATGAGAGCAATAGGACTGAATACGCTTCATTATTTTTGAATAATCTCCTAAATTCATGCATTTTAATACTTTTAATATTAAAAACTATCATACCTGACAAAGGTACAGAGATCCATTTAAATGAAGGCCACGCTTACTAAAACATGACATTAATTCTTCCACCTCATCCTCTATGTAGGCAAAAGTTTTTGTGGAAATGTAACTAATAAAATTTAGTCTTCCTCAACACCAGGTGTTCCTGCAATTGAATCTGATGGTTTTACTTTATTTTGGCATTTTTAAAAAAATGGATTCACTAAAAACACTTAATTTAAAAAAGTTGGTTGTAATTGCTATCACTTACAGACCTTTCTAATTAACCCAGTTAACTCTCAAAATAGCTCTATGAGGCAGATGCTATTATTTCCACTTTACAGGTAAGAGAAGGGAGGCACCGAGTGGTTAAGTAACCAACCCGAAGATCACATAATTATTAAGTGCCAGAGCTGGATTTGATAAGCATGCTCCAGAACCTGGGCTGCTATGCTATTTTTCTGTTAGAAAACTGCTCCCGAGCTGTTAAATTATGCACATATGATAATTTTCACAACAAATAATTTTTAATAACAAAATCACACAATGATGTAAACTTCTCAGAATACACTCTCCATTGCATGAGTTTCTTACAAAAAAAAAAAAAAAAAAAACCAAAACACCAGCTACTTTCTGACACAGCTTGTTAAAGTTTCCTTAACATTGACGGGACAGATTCAGTACAAATTTTTCCCAAAATGATCTGCTAAGTATAATCTGTCATTATAAAAAAGATCAACATATTTGAAACACTTGAATTTTAGTAAAAGAAAAATGTCTGGCTCGCTTAAGTTGGTCAGCTTTTATAAGTATTTTGACAAATATAACCAATGAATCTCTTCTTTGTAGAATAGAAGATGATTCCCACCTTGCCCTTACTATAAATTAAAGGCCTCGTTTTCCAGTTTACAGTCTGGCTTTATACCTTTTTTGCCACCACAGATTTCTAGAAATAATGTAGTGAATGAATTTTGTGCACGGTGCTATCTCTATAACTTCATCTCCCTATTCCCCAAATTTTATTTTTTTAAATTAAATTCCAGTTCACATGGGCCCTCCATCAGTGGCTTTTATTTAGTTTTTCCACACCAAAAAATTTAAATTAAGTGATCTATTCTTGAGAATGTATCTTTGTAGGTATTTTTTTTTATCTTTAGTTGCTCACAAAACTAGTTCTTTATGCATTTCATTATTGAAATAGAATATACCAAGTTCCCCAAGTGTAATGTCAGAATCATCTGTACATTTTTCCAATTTGCAATCTGCTCTGCTACTGATTTACTTAATCCATCAACAATGTTTTTATGCTGCACCCAACAGTATATGCTGATGAAAGAATGTGTTCTGGTTGATTGTCATATTGTTTTTTGTGATTTTACCATGGCAGAAAGAACCAGTGTTTCCCCACATGTCTTTCCCCTTAAATAAGAAACCTCAAGAGTGGCTTCTAAGCATTCATAATTATATTTAGTAAAATTCTGTACTATTGGGTACTGCATAAATAATCATCTTTAAAAAAAAAAAAACTGCAAAGGCCAATCTTCACATTCTGAATGCTTAGATATCCTGCTGATTGAGACAGTTTCAGAATATCATTAGCTAAAATCTTAAGTCACAGTATAAATGGGCAAGGTTTCTTGCCAGAAGTAGGAATATATTTCTGTTTCAAAAATCTTCCTTGATGATTCCAATTTTTTGTGACCAATTTCTTATCAGGTCTGATTAAATCATCTTAACCTCATGATGATGTGACTGACAGAGGTCTTAGTAGGAATCGCAGTGCCCACTCTATTTTTCTGTTTATTTGCATTATTATCATCTACAGTCGGCAGCTTCCTAGCTGTTCACTAGAGGTTAGTCTAGTTTAAACTGGGTAACACAATCAAGAAACCCACAGAGTTGAGCACACATCAATTGCAATCTGTCAAAATATGTTATGAGAA